TCAGTGAGTATTCCCTAACTCAGCTCTGTCTGAAATAACCAGAGCTCAGAGAATTTCCGTGGCCGCTTGGCAGCATTTAGCACCTCGGTGTGTTTTTACAGTAATACCTTTAGAAATGGAGCTTGGGGAGGCACCTGGCACTGCAATTTCCCTCTCAATCCAAAAACTCTGAAGGGGAGAGAGAAATTACCCAGAGAGCACAGTGTCTGGTTTAAACAGGAATGACTCAGTGTCTGGACTGGGAACAAATATAACAACTTTCTGGTATAGAAATAAGGAGCAGTGTTGAAAATGAAAGGATATGAACTCCATCAAAGTACAGTTGATTTTTTGATTCCTGAGTTCAGTCTCTTTATGTTTAAAGCACCACAGACACATTTAAAATAGAAACCTCAGCAAGATTACACAGTTAACCTGTTTAGATTTAAAAGAAAATTCGTTATTAATGTAAAACATTTGCAGGTCCTTTGAAGCCAGTGGGAATGGAATAATTTTGTGAATACTGTTTTCCTGTATCTGTTTCTAGCTTGAATAATAATCTAAGTATGTGTTTAGGCCAGCTAAAGTAGGTTAGGAAGGCCTACAGTAAAAGAAACCCAACTTGTGGACTGTAGTTAGTGTAGAACTACTCATATTGTCAATCAGAGTCATCAAAACTGAATTTTTCTGACTTGGCCTCTCTTGAAAGAAAAAACAGCAGTGCAAAAGTAACATTTGCCTCCCAAAAAAAGCTGATACACTCTATACATATCACTTGCATAACAAAGGTCCATTTTTGCAGAATGATGTTAGGTGGTGTAAGAAGAAGCTTGGGTAGAGTGTCTGAATGCTCACACCTTCATGTTTCACCTGTGTTTATAGACACAACTCTGTTCACAGAGCCTTTGCAGGCAAGTTCCTACCAACCTTGGAAGCTGTTGGAGCAAATGAAGTTGCTAAACTGCAAGAACTTGTGAAAGGAAAATGAGCTGAAAATTAAAACCATGTTTGAGGCATGTCTGAAAGCCATTTGGGCTAACAATTCTGTGTTTTCAACTTAGAAAAACCCACCCAAATATACTCAGTGAACTGCTGAGCAGACAAGAAGACCTGGGAACACAGAGGAGCACAGTTACACTATGGAAAGTCTGTGATTGCAGTGCCCACTAAGACCAGTTTTTCACATCAGTGCAGGTTCTTGATCATGGACACTCTATCATGATCCCAGAATAAAACTACACCTCCTTTAAAAAAGGAAAGCCTTTTGCCAAGCTGATCTGGTTTTCGTTAGATGAAGCTCTGCTGTCAGATTTGGATAAATCAAGAGCTAAACTTTTGTACTTCTTGATTTCATTCTTCCCTCGAGTTCACATTTTCCATTTGAAATGTGTCCCAGTGGTTCTATGATTTCACACTGTCCTTCTATATGCTATTGAGTATTAAGAGTCTGATAGTGTTGCCGTGTGAGTGGAGTTTTGCCATGGACTGAGCTCAAAGGAACTGGTTTCTGGTTCACTTCCAGCCCTGACAGCAAACAGACTCCTTCCAGCCTTGTGCAAAAAGCTGTGTGTGGATGTCTTGCTGCTTTCCCAGGGTCTCACAACAAAGCAGTGTCATGAATAAAGGTTATTGAGTCATTCTAGACTCTAGATGACATCCCTTTCTAGATTCAAAATGTGTTAAAACAGTTGTCTCTAGAAGCAGAAGTTTCCAGACTGCACCTAGGTGCTGTCTGGGATTCAAAGGGAAGCAATGTCACCAATGTGGGACTTGTTTCAATTGCTGAGTTGTTTTGGTACATGTTACAGTTTGTCATTTGTACTAACTGTCCTTTTTCCTCACCTATCTCTGATTAGAAGCTAAATCTGTCTCAGTCTCCTAGCCTGCTCTTCATATTGGAAGAGAGAACAGTGAAAAAATGCCACATGTGAACAGCAACAGAGTGACCATATTTGTTAAATGGATTGGCACATCTTACCTCCTCTTTAGTGCATTTACCTCCCTTTTACACCAGTCAATATTTACCTATTCCTTCTGCCTAATTCCTCGGTCCTGACAAAACTTCTAAGATGTACAAGGAACTGGGGAGAAGAATTAAATCCTTAAAGCCCTCAAAATTAGAGAAAAATCCTGAAATCCTACTGAACCAATGTGATGTTTAGGAAGAAATTCTTCCCTCTGAGGGTGGTGAGGCACTGGCACAGGTTGCCCAGAGAAGCTGTGGATTCCCCATCCCTGGGAGCTCCTGAGGGCAGAAGGTAATTGGTATTTTCTCATGCAGTTTTTATGAGGGGAAATCTGTATATATGTATCCCTGTATATATGTATCTCTGTATATATGTATATAAGATCAGTGGAGTGTTTAAATTTACCACGAAGAAAATTAAAAATAGCTAAAGAAGAAATGTGTTTGAACTTTGGCTTGTGTTTAAAAGCAGATTTGTATGGGGAGATTCAGGACTTAAAACCTATTGCTTTTCGGATGGATTAGTAAAACTCAATAAACTCCAACCTAGATATTCCTTCTCAGAATATTAGAGAATAGCCTTAATTTTTGCTTGAATTTATGTTGCTTTTTTACTTAAAAAAAATAAAAATCATTCTGGTTAATGTTCCCCTACAGGTGTGGATGCAGTAGGAAGTTGGGAGGGGTTTGGCTAAGTGTCCTTCACCTGATGGTGATGGAAGGGATCAATTATTCCCCAGCTCAGTCAACTGACCTGAGTCAGTATTGCAAAGATGATGACTGTGATCACAAGGTTCAGGACAAGTTAAGCTGAGTTCTGTGTTATGACTTACATGGATTCTATCTATCTATCTATCTATCTATCTATCTATCTATCTATCTATCTATCTATCTATCTATCTATCTATCTATCTATCTATCTATCTATCTATCTATCTATCTATCTATCTATCTATCTATCTATCTATCTATCTATCTATCTATCTATCTATCTATCTATCTATCTATCTATCTATCTATCTATCTATCTATCTATCTATCTATCTATCTATCTATCTATCTATCTATCTATCTATCTATCTATCTATCTATCTATCTATCTATCTATCTATCTATCTATCTATCTATCTATCTATCTATCTATCTATCTATCTATCTATCTATCTATCTATCTATCTATCTATCTATCTATCTATCTATCTATCTATCTATCTATCTATCTATCTATCTATCTATCTATCTATCTATCTATCTATCTATCTATCTATCTATCTATCTATCTATCTATCTATCTATCTATCTATCTATCTATCTATCTATCTATCTATCTATCTATCTATCTATCTATCTATCTATCTATCTATCTATCTATCTATCTATCTATCTATCTATCTATCTATCTATCTATCTATCTATCTATCTATCTGTCTTTCAAACCATGTCACTCAATCAGCTGTCCTTGCTGACCTCCAGTGACGTTAAGGATCAGACCTATTCTCTTAAGAATCCAGTCTTGTCACTCTTATCATCTGGTACTTTATCTCTTATGACTCATCTTGTTTACTCATTCCACACAGCTAGATGTTGTTTTACCCCACTGACTAATTCACATTGAAGTTTCTTGTTCTTTCCTCTAATGCATATATTGTGTAAATGGGATTTTTCTAAGCAGATCTATTTTATCTGCTTTTAAGTGTAAGGAAAGCTAGAAAGGACTCATCTTCTTTTAGTCAAGATCCCTGGTTAGCCAATGCAGATCTTATGGCTCACAAAAAGGAGCATTTCTCTTCTATGACCACAATTACAGGCTTATATAAGGGATTTAAAGTGGCATATCTGGGAGATTAGTAGGGATAAAGAAATGTTTTGGCATGTTCAAGGGGTAAGTGTTGGTTGTATTGCTTATGTCAAGCTGAGATGATGGTTGTTTCCTTTTCACCTTTACCCAAACAAGTTTTGTCCTGTGTCACAGTGGACAGAAACACATGGGGATGCACCTGGTCACTCATTCCTTCACTGTCATCACCTCCATTGGTACCAGCATTTGGATACCATATGGTCTAATCACACCTAAATTATGACCTAGATAACACAGAGCTGTTTTGGAAAAAATAGCAAAATATGGAGGTGTAAAGTCATCAAAATCCTTTCTTTAGAATGAATCAGAACAGAGGGTTAGGGCCAAAGTTCTCCAACTCAAGGAGAAGTTTCGCTGTGATAGCACTGGAGCACTGGTGAGCCCAGAGGCTCTTGCTGCACATTCAGGCAGGAACTGCCAAATAACTGACAGATCTGTATGGATCTCCAAGAGCAAAATTCCTTGATATGGACTTCACAATGTCTGTTCTAACTGTGCTGGCCAGCTGTCTGTCTCAGCAAGAGAGCAGGGGAAAAAGGCCAGCACTAAGCAAAAAGTCTCAGAATCATCCCTTATAATTTCATAGATTGTTAAGGGGCTGGAACGGAGCTGAGAGATCATCCCTGAGCAGGGACACCTCCCACCAGAGCAGGTTGCTCAAGGCTTTGTCCTACCTGGCCTTGAACACTGCCAGGGTTGGAGCAGCCACAGCCTCCCTGGGCAACCTGTGCCAGTGTCTCACCACCTTCCAAACCTATTCCAAGAGCAGAACTGCTACAATTCCTGGACATGGAGCCTGGAGCTCAACACAGCCATGGGCTCTTCCATGGGCTCTCCCGCAGGGGTGGTATCATTCCACTCACTAGTACACTTGCAAAAAATCCAAGAGAGCTTTGCAGACCCATAAAGCAGAACACAATCCAACCAGATAAAATGTAAGGTTCATTTGCAATTTTGGACTCTACAAGCTAATGACATTTCCTGAAAGTGATTCTGCTCCGTATGAACTTTGGTCATGCCAAGTGTTGTCATGGCCGGATGTTTGCATGCTTCCAGCATCTGGCAGCCCAGTCTGGGGGAGGAGGGAGGAGGGAATTTGGTATGCAAATTACTGCTCTGTGGAGTCAGTCTGGAGGATATAAATATCGACAGAACCATATCATACAGTGTCTAATAAATTATTCCCAGCCAAGAACAATGGAATCCTATTATACTTTGGTTTTAATAGCAGGAATTCTAGTTGCTTTTGTATTATTGGTTTTAATTGCAACTGATCATAACTCCTTCAAGGCAGAGATTCCTCCTGATACTGACCATCCATCAAAGCTCCGTTTTTATCACTATGTGTGCACTCTGGTGGAAAATCTGGTGAGTTTATCATGCTTTGTGCTACTGGGATTTTCAGGAATGAAAACCCTTGAGTAGAACTATGAAGAAACGCATCTAAATATTGCAACTACGTGTAATGGGAACCACAGAATAACAGAGATTTAAAGATAAAGGCCAAAGGTTGATTTGGTGTTCTAGTCCTGCAGATAAAAGCAGCCAGTGTGAGGTGAGTTCTTTTAAATACTGAGCTATCCATTCTTATGCTGCAGTTGTTATTTGATTTTCTTCTGTAATGAACTGGTTGGTCCTGTGGTTGACACAAGGGCTGTGGGTATCAATGAGCACAGTGTCTGTATCTCAATGCACTCTGATATATGTAAGGCAATCTCCTAAATTTCGAGCTGTCTGCAATAATTTTCTTACCCATCATTCTGTTCTTTTTCTGCACTGACTGATTTACTAAGTCTTAGTTAGGTATTATAGAATCAACTGAGCTGGTAGACACCTCTGGGAGTCACCTAATCCAACTTCTGCCAAAAGCAGGTTCAGACCTGTTATCACTTATGATTTAAGTACTTGTAAGCCAGACTCACTGTGCTGTGTGTTTGGCCATCAGAGAAAGAAAGAGCTTTTGCCCCAAAAGCTTTCAAAGAAGGCAGCAGGAGTATGCAGGAGCAGCCTAAGCCCTGTCACATCTGGCACATCAGATGTCAAAAGAAAGGCTGCAGGAAAATCACAGAGTTCTTTCATTGCTGTTTGTATGAAGCTCATCTCAAGGAAGGTATTCTCAAATCCCCCAGTTACACAGAAGGAATGCAGTAACTAGGGCCCATGTCCTGCAAGGTGATTTGGGGCATTATCATCTATTAAAGACATGGGTTGTTGAGCTTACAAAGCAGCACTCAGCTAATCCAGTGACTGTCCCTGTTCCCCAGTGGCCCAGACCCCACTCACCTTTCTGCTTTGTCTGCCATGAAAGAAGAGGCTGCTGATCTCGTGTATCTCACACTGCTCTTCATGTCATGTTATATATAACCTTAATATAATTATATGACTGTAATATAATAATGTGACTGTGTATTATTAAGTTCTGTATGATGTTACTAAGCTTTTGTACTTGGTTGGGTGAAAAGACTCTTTCAGGTGATACTTTTAACTCACTTCTACAGCTTCTAAGTGGCTTTTGTGCAATAGTACATATCCTCTCTTCACTGATAATATGTTCCAGAATTTTCAGCTTTCTTTCTCTGGACAGTTTTGAACATGTATTTCACCATTTGCTCTGCATTGATTCCATTCCATACCTAATTTTCTTTGGAAAGCCTTTAGACTTCTGCTGGTACTTTGGGTGAATTTCTGGCTTTATGTTCATACTCACAGGAGTAGCCTTGACAGAATTTCACAGGTTACTAACTGAGTGCATGATGCTTTGTGCATTGCACACGTGCAATTAATTTATCCTGCTCATCCTGATGAATCATAGAATCATAGAGTCAATCAGGTTGGAAAAGACCTCAAAGATCACCAAGTCCAACCCTACTGTGGTCACTAGCCCATGGCACTAAGTGCCACATCCAGTCTCAGCTTGAAAACCTCCAGGGATGGTGAATCCACCACCTCCCTGGGCAAGACATTCTCAGTAAAAAATCTCTTCCTAATATCCAACCTAACCCTCCCCCTCTCCTCATGCTGCTCTTCCTGTGACACTGATGTGTCTGTACTGTATGTTGCAGGAAAACCCTCTTTTTTTCTGCAATACAGGACAGTCTTTTCCTCTTTTCTTCCACCTTACTTGCAATATGTCTTGGGAAAGCTGCATCACCAGGTAAATGTGTACCTGACACCAGAGGTGCCACACATAGGATGCTCCTCCTGCATCTCTCCACATCCTCTGGTCAGGAAATCAATGACATTCTGAAATGGAAGAGAGGAGAGGAAGATTCCTCTCATCTCATCAGTAGTTTTAAACTACTGTGTTCAAACTCACAGTGCATATTGCACTGTGACATTAAGCTTTGATGACAATTACTTTGGCTGGCAAAGCACAACATTTCAGAGAGACTGACAGAATGTCTGATGTAGTCCTAAAGTCCATGAAGCTCAAATTGAGTGGGTTTTGCTAGCTGGTATGTGATTTTATAATTATTTTTAAAGTAAAAATCTGGTCCCCGTATGATCTTCCACACACACAAAAAATAAAAAAGAGCCAGTTTGTGCCAGAGTTTAGGTGTTCCAGCAAACAGTTTTTCACAGACCCTGTTTCATGCTGACATGCACTTTTTCCACTTTTTTAGAACCTGGCTTATGCAATAGGTTTCACTTACTAACACTGCTCACATCTGTCTAGGAATAGTCAAACCTTTTAGGTTTGAAGTGTATTGCTGTTGGTTCTGAAGTATTTTTTAAGTATTGATCAAGAAGTTTTGCAACAGAATACATACCAAATTCTCTGTTCTCCTTCATGACAGTGTTTCCCCTGAATTTGGAGATGCCTCTGTGACGTCAGGAACTCCTAAGGCAAGGAAAGGAAACAGGATATTTAAACAGAGGTTGTCATGTATCATACTGCCATCTGAAAGCTCTGTGAATACTCAGGGATGTTAGACAGTACAGAGGAGATGAGATGGCAATTCTGCCAACTTCAACCATTCTAAAACCATAACTCTGACATGAGACGTTTAGAAAATTGCTGTTTGGGGAAGGTTATATTCACTCTGTGCTTTCTGCTCTGTTTGCCTTATATAAATTTCCCTCTTTGCCATGAGACCTAAATACGTGCCTTTCCAAAGGTAAGTCAGGAACTATAGCCATCACTTCTGTCAAGGGACTGGGACTTACCCCACCCCAAGCACTGCTGGCAGTTGTGGCACAGCATTAGGAAATAACTCCACATCATATCTGGGCTCCCATCCTTGTTTCTAATTGATTTTCCCCTCTCTTTCATGGCTCATGGTGGTTTCTTTTATTGCTCCTCACCAACTTGTTTATTGCAGCCTGGTCTAGGCTATTAGGAAGGAGAATCTGTGATACACAAGGTTGGAAAGAACAATTTACAAAAGCAGAGCTGTCTTTTAGTTGGTAACGCATTGATCCAATGACTTCTGTGGCTCAGAAGAGAACAATACAGTGTGCAAATTGCTTGTGATGATTATCATCATTCCAGGAGAATGAATTATAATAGCCCATAAGGTCATTTAAGTCACCATGTAATGGGAAGGCAAACGTTGTCCCTAGCAGGAAATGCATTCATTACAACATGTGCTTAATGTAAAGGAGGATTCCAACGTGATCTTCACACTCTCTTAATCAGCAGTTGACTGGCCTTGGATAAGGAGATGTTTCGACACATTTAGCAAACCTTCCCTGTCCTCTGAATATTTGTTTTCCCTGATTAGATGTAAGAAACTGACTGCAGAGTCATTTCATGAACACCTGGAAAAGGCAACAGGTTCACTGATGGGGAAGGAGATAAGGTTCAGAACCATTTTCATCAGCTCTTCATTCACTCACTATTGATTATAGGCACAGTGAGACCTTAAAGCTTGTCCTCACTGACCCTGTGGCATGGAGACAACCCAACCCCAGTAAGTTACTCAATCTTGCACACAAACTGGCATGAGCCTTTTTCCTCCCAGGATACTAAATCTTGGCATGTGAGGGATATTTTCATCTCACCTAACTTCAACTCCTTTAACTAAGGCATCTGAGGTACACAGCCAACCTTTATAACTCGTGGAGATGAACAGCCACCTCCAGAGCATGACTTAACACAACTGAAGTTGGAACCATACTCACAAAATGCCTCTTGGATTGAAAAAGAGCCTCAGGCCACCCAACTTCCACACCTGAGCAAATGCCTGTTGTTACTTGTGGTAAATCCAGATCAGAGGACTTAGAAGGTATTTACAGAATACAATTCATGCAGCAAGTATTACAACATTCTTGCAGAAATCATTTTCGTCACAAAAATCCCAAATTCTTTGTGAGAATCCTAAAATGTAGCAAATAAGCAACACAGTTATCCTTAGTATAGTATAGGAAAAGGTAGTTTGTGGCTTTTACAGAGTGGGAAGACGTGTAATCCCTCTAGCATTTTCTGATTTTTCCTGTTATATCTATCAAGGCAAAGCACTTGGAAGGCTTGGGAGCTGTGGAGAAGCACACAGTGATCAGGCTGCTCACGGATGGGCTGTGGACATGGCCAGATCCACAGCTCCTCACAAGGGACCTGCAGTTTGAGAAGGTTCCTGTGAGGATTTACCTCCCAAGAGAACCATCTGCAAGCAAACGGAGAGGAGTAATCTACTTCCATGGAGGATGTGGGATTTTTGGAAGCATCAGTAAGAAACTGAAAGAGAAAATTGGATTATTCAGGATGGTTAACTGTATGTTTTGAAGCTCTGCAGAGCCTAAAAGTGACCAAAGCTTAGCTTGAGAGAAAGAAAGCACTTAATGTTTAGTTTTACTTTTTAAACACCCTAATCTGCATTGACTTAGTATCTAAATTATTTTTATAGGATGTATCTTTCTGTATCATAGAACCATAGGATCATAGAGTGGTTTGGTTTGGAAGGGACTTTGAAGCCCATCCAGTTCCACCCCCTGCCATGGGCAGGGACACCTTCCACTAGCCCAGGTTGCTCCAAGCCCCATCCAACCCGGCCTGGAACACTTCCAGGGATTGGGAATTCACCATCTCTCTGGGCAACCTGTGCCAGTGCCTCAGCACCCTCATCATAAAAGCATCTTCTTTATATCCAGACTAATTCTACTCTTTCTCAGTTTAAGCCATTTCCTGTTCTCTAATACTAATAACCATTTCCTCACAGATCAACAATCTCCCGAAACGTATGAACTTCACAGTGTGCCCTGATGGCCAAAAGTCTAGATTAGTTTTATCCTAGAGAAAATATTTGCACTCACTAAACAGGCAAAGGGCCAATATTCAATCATGGCAATAATTCTTAAAAAAATAAGGGAGAATATTGATTGAAGTTTTCTAAAATATTAATGACATCAACAACATTTGTTCTTCAGGAACTTGCGAAAGAATGTGCCGGTACATAGCCAGAAAATCTGATTCAGTGGTTGTGTCTGTTGGGTAAGTGCCCTCCACCCAGTGTTCCCCTGCTTCCCACACACTCCTGAGCTATCACCACAGAAATCATTGCCTTGCTTGGGTAATAAGGGATTATAAACCCAATGTCAGGTTTTAGTATTTAAAGGGGATATTTAAAACCATCTGGGCATGATTTTAATGAGTAAATAATGAGCCTAAGAGTTAATCTGTTTTAAACCCTTTGCTTCCTTTGAAAGGTGTTTTGCTTAGGGAAAATTTATGGTGGTATGAAGAAACTTTAGTCTTCAACAAATTCTTTCATGAAAAAAAATCATTACTAAAGGATTTTATTAAATTATGAGGAATTGGTTTGGGGAAAGAAAGGGAGAAGAAGCTGTTCTGGTTTGCTTCAGCATGCAAGACTTTCAACCAGATAAGTAGTAATTACTAGATAAACAATCGTGGTTTGGGGGAGTTTTTCTAACTGCGTGGGATGTATTTAAGATGAGCCACTCAAGCACTGTCTAATACCATCTGTCTTTTCTGCCTTTCAGGTACCATTTAGCACCTGAGCATGAGTATCCATCCCAAAATCTGGAATGTCTCGCTGCTACCATGCACTTCTTGAAGACTGCAGAGGCCTACGGGGTGGATCCTGCTCGGGTTATTGTTTGTGGGGACAGTGCTGGGGGGACTTATGCTACCAGAGTTTGCCAGGAACTGGTGAATAGGACAGATCTCCCCAAGATCCGTGCCCAGGTGTTGATCTATCCATTCCTCCAAGCTCTGAACTTCAATCTGCCATCTTACCAGAAAAATGCTGCCATGGCCTTCCTGTCCCGGGAACGTACAGTCCATTTCATTCTGAAGTACCTGAACAAGGATTGTGCCATGAAGGAAGCGATTTTGGCAGGTTCTCATGTTCCTGAGAACATGAATTTGAAATGCAGGAAATGGATAAATCCAGATCTTCTCCCAGAGGTATTTCAAGCAGGCTACAAACCACCACTGCCTGCTTTGTTTTCACCTCAAGTCCATGAAGAAGTCAAAGAGCTGTTTGATACGAGGTTTTCCCCTCTGCTAGCAGAGGATTCTGTGGTTTGCTGCCTGCCTGACACCTGTCTCATCACCTGTGAGCACGATGTGCTCAGGGATGATGGTTTGTTGTACAAGAAACGCTTGGAGGACAACAATGTAAGGGTGACCTGGTACCACATGGAGAAAGGTTTCCACTGTGCACTGGGATTTTTTGGCTATGGTGTTTTCTCTTTCCCATCATCAAGCACAATAGTGAACCATGCTGTAGACTTTATAAAAGGCTGTTAAATTATTTTTTGTATACAGTGCTCTGGTGTGAAGACAGAGTGCGATCCAATTAACTATTTACTGGTTATTTATGCATTAGAATCTAGGCAAGAAACTATGACATTAGCATGGGCTGCTGACTTCTGATTTTTACTTGCTATTACTTAGAAACATGATGTATTTTTCTTTTTATTGATGTGCCTGTTTTGCTCTTCTTACTTTGTAAGAATCTTTTTTATCTTTCTATGTCAAATAATAAAATATCACCATAACAAAACCCATTCTAAATCATAAAATCATAGAATTTAAGGGTTGGAATGGACCTTACAGACCATCTAGTCCCAACCCTTGCCCTGGGCAGGGACACCTCCTCACTAGATCAGGTTTCATTTGCTCATGAAATCTGAAGGAAGGAGTTGAGTGTACTTACAAATCTGATTTTAAAGGGAAGTGGATGACTGAGCTGCACCTGGAAGTACCTGAGACTGCAACAGAGATGCAGTGAGAACTGCTCAAAAGTAACTGAAGGTCCTCTAAATTAGATTCTATAAAGTTCCTTTCTGAGCAGCATTTGGTTGTATTCAGGGAAGAAAGACACATCGAGGGTTTTGCCCTTCTGTAATCAAACAAATAATCAACTTGGATTTGGGGGACAAAGTATGTAAACAGCATAGAAGCTGCCAAAATAATTTCTGGGAACATCCAAAACAGAGGAAAAGAAAAAATTCAGCTCAATTGTTCTAGTGTTATCATTGTTGCATTGTTCTAATGGTTATATTGTTGTAATTCTTGCATTGTTTATGAGGACAGATCCACCTGTGCTAAATACAGACGCCAAGTAATTGCCATTGCATGGCAAAGGAACTGGGCAAGCAGTGCCAGGAGTTGTAAAGTATTTAATCCTTGTGCAACCACTTTGCACTGGTAACATCTGTGCACACAGAGCTGTGGAAAGAGGTTACCATGTGTCTGTTCTCTGCCTGGCAAACCGTGAGTAGGAAGGTGGTGGTGGGTAAAATTCTCTGTGTTGTCACCATGGTCGTTAAACAGAGTGACAAGTGAGCTGGTACAGAACTCTGCAGCAACAAGTCACTGCTTGTGAATTCTTCTGCTCCAGTCCCTCTCAGCAATATGAAGTTACATTTCTGAAGAACTGCTCTGGTGACACAACAGTGAGTTTACTTGTGTCATTGTTCCTAATGCAGGTACTAGCAATTGCCTCTTCAAGCAAAGAAATTCTTCCAGGAGTAAATCGTATGATAGAGTTCCAAATGTTCCACTGTTTGAGGCTTTCAGGATTTGCCTTGGCTATGAAGATGAAGGTTTGCTTACCAGCTCATGTGCAGTAGCTGAATCTAGGCCAGCAGAGGTGCTACCTGCTGCAAAGTGATGCAAAAAGCTAGATAACACTGGAGCAGTTAATCCCAGTCTGTTCCAGCATGGCTGGGATGGTCACTGGACTGGAGCAAGCTGCCTTGAAGGTAGTTTGGGTACAACTTCAAGAACTTGAGTCAAACTTGTGAGACTCATCAGCTTATCTTTGTTCAGGACCATCTTTATTCCTGTCTCTCTTCTTTGCACCTTCTATACCAGATCAGTTCTTGTGATGACTCTTTGCAGAGGTACAGAGAAGGTTGAAAGTGCTAGAACTAAGGATGTCTGTCCAGTTCCATCTTGTATTTTGTAAGTTATAAGATGGTCAAAGGTGATCTCATGCTATTTTACACACAATCACTCAATGCAGCATTGTACTCCTTGTCAGTTCAGCTACCCAACACTTGTTTTCTTTCCTTCAGCCAGTCTCTGGACTTACACCTCATTTATGGACCAATGTCCAAACTCTACACTGATCTACTAGTGAGAGTGTCTGCTGGAGATCAGTCATTGAGGAGGATGAGGCAAGACACACAGCACTCACACCTCTGGTGCAGCTGCTTCTGGTTGCACTGGACTCAGAGCTGCAATGGGTCAACAACATAAAAAAATCTGATCAGAGGAGAGAAAACCTTGATTTCACTACGAGTCTGAAGAGTTAAGGCATTGAGGCACAACCAAGGGAAGAAACTGAGCAGCTCTGAAGATGATCATCAAGAAATGCTGTGGCACAGGAACTCAAACAATACAGACTTGCCTGTGCTCAAACAGAGGGAGAGACAGCACAAGTTTTGGTCTTCTCGTAAAATATTAAGTCATGGTTCTACGTAATAGGCACAGTCTCCAAACCTGTTAGGTGTGAATATGAAAACCTGATTATGCAAGGCTCTCCCACAGTAAATTCTGACTATCTTTTTAATTGTACGGTTGACTTGATGTGTTTTCATCTTCGTCTTGCATTTTTAAAAGCTTTGATTTATAGATAAGACAACCGCTCATCCTGTGCCTCTTTCTTCAGAAATCCAAAGTCAGAGTGGGAAGGAGGCCACAGCTGGTCCCTCTTTGGGCTCCTATCACCACAGCAAGATGGAACTCTTCTTGGTGATTTTTCTTGCTGTTTTGACTTTTTTGGTGACAATGGCATTCTATTATGAACACCCCAAGGCAGAAATCCCTCATGGATTCAGTGAGCGCCGAAAGCTTCACATTTTTCATCACATCCTGAACTTTGGGTTTGGTCTGGTAAGTCAAACTTGATTAGAGCTGGAGTTTTTAGCTTAATTTCTGTTTCAAGGGAAACGGATTGGTGAGTTCTTTTTAGAAGTGATTTAAATAAATTGCAAATATGCACCTGGATGAATTTGGTGATGTGAGCAGATTGCAGTGTGTATGTGGAAGTTGTGCTCTGTAGAACACTGTGCTCACTTACAGAGTGAGCCACAAAATGATGTCTGTGGTCTCAGCTCTCATCTACAGCTCTGACACTCTCCTGAGCCCTCTGAAAAGAGCTGCCACACTCACTCTCTTTTCCCTTTCAATAAGCCTAAAGGATTTTCATTTTTGAGATAAATCACCTGATATTTAAATTGTGTTTGAGTGTCATTGGTTTTGGCA